ACGCTGGTGGTCACGTGCCGTAAATTTATTTATTTAATTTGTACATAAATAAAACTAGTTTTTCGTTTGTTTTTATTTTTACTTACCTAAACGCTTTTGCACAGCGCGCAATTTCATCGCAGTACGATAGGCTGAGAAACGTATTTCGTTAAGATCGGCTAAGCTCTTCATTAGTTCTATCATTTCTGGATGATCCCAGTGGGTGGTTTCGCGTTCGTGACTGGTAAGGTGGACAGTGAATTTAAGGTAATAATATTAATTAGTCACGAATATCATTTAGAAGATATAACTATATTTAATTGTTATTGATATCTGAATTGCTAAAAGGATGTACCACGCTGTAATTGATATAAAACCGGGACCGAAAATGAACATTAAATACCAAGATTTTTAGTTTTGGTCCATTTTTATTTTTTTTATCTTTATTTCTGCGGTCAATCTAATCCATTGCATTTAAATTCTTATTTTTTCCATCAAATTTAGTCGTTATTCTTTGTTTTTAATTTTTTGTCGATAAAAAAATCGTTAATTTGGAATACTATTTTGTTAGCATTTGCAACCGTTATAATGGATACTGCGTTTTTATGCACCACTTTATACATTTTATAATCTAAAGAGTTTACTCTGAAAACAACGGTAATAATAATTGTTCGAAAAAATAAAAACCCAAAATAAAAATTATTCTTTCTATCTGATCGCAAAAATTAAATATTAACGGTTAAATTGTGATTTTTATTATAAACCTCATAGCCGTTACAATCCCTGGATTAATAAAAAAAAAAATTGCGAGGATTCCCCGCGTGACTGAAATGAATTTTCCTCTTCTTCCAAATATCCGTAAAGCTTAGCATATTGTACGGGCATTTATCTGCATAAAAATCATTCATATTCATTCTAATCCCAATTCTAATTTTAATGATAATTTAAATCTTAAGGGTCTTCTTCACCTTTTTCTAAATCTTAATCTTAATCTTAAAATTAGTTTAGTTGTTAAACTTAATCCCAGTCTTAATGTCAATTTTAATCTTAGATCCTAATTTAATTAAATTTTAATCTTAATTTTAATTTAAATGTTAATCCTAATCCTAGTCTTAATATTTAGTCTTTATATTTATCTTAATTTTAATATCAATCTTAATTTTAATGTTACTATTAATTTTATTCCTAATCATAATCTTAGTCTGAATCTTTATGTTGTTTCTAATCTTAATCTTAGCCTTAATCTTAATCATAGTCTTTATCTTTTCCTTAACCGTATTCTTAATCTTTATCTTTTCCTTAATCTTAATTGTAATCTTAATCTTAATCTTAACCTGAATCTTATTCTTATTCTTGTTAAAGTTATTTCTTATCTTTGCCTTCTTCTTCTTGGCCTTATTTCCAATCTTAACCCTAATCTTAATTTGTATGTTAATATTAATCCTAGTTTTAATCTTTAGCTTAATTTTAATATTAAACTTATTTTTAATCCTAATCCTGATATTAGTCTTTATCTTGTTCTTAATCTTTAGTTGTCCTTAACCTTATTCTTTATCCTCATCCTTAATCTGAATCTGTATGTTTATAGTAATCTACATAATCCGAGCCGAGCGCAAAGAAGCTTTGCGTAAAAATAATTTCATGCATCGATTACCTAGTAGACGTATTTCCTATCCTTGTTTTATACTTTTTTCGTTTACTCACTCAATGTAGTAAGGCACATTGGCTGCTGTCGTTGCTCGTTCCCAAGGCGGCTTAACGCTCTGTCCCAGATTGGGTAATGGCCCGATTGTGCCACTATTCGATGTTGTGCGGCCATCTTCACCGTTTTCTAAAGCCTGATTTGCGCCAGCATTGCAAAGTACCTTTTGACGTTCGTCCATTGCAATTTGGAGTAGTTTCATTCTGGAAGAGGACAAAAATATTGAAATGTTAAATGGAAATGGTTTCCGAATTTGCAGTTTCAATTTAGCCTCAGCCTTTATACAGTGCAAGAAAAGCTGTAACTTAAACCTCAATAAAAATCAATTCTATAAACCAATTCATGTGAGCAGCTCTTTAATTAAACACCCCGATAACATTTATATTCGCCAGTAGTGAACCAAGCTTCGATTCCCGGTCAGAGCAACGTAAAAACAGGTTTTTTTTTCCGAATAGTCGTCCCAAC